GAAGATATTACTCTCTGTTTTGGTACGTAACACTTGAAGGTTCTGTAGTTTGTAGTATTTCTGGTATTAAAAGTTTAAGTGAAAAGTTACATCACATCAAATAGTAATTATAAATAGATGTTTACTTAGTGAATTTAATTCAAGGTGTACACATTTGTCTGATTGTGTATTTCCAAGTTATTTAGGAAAAGTTGTTGAAGTCCATTGTTGAGAACATAGTGATGAGTGTAAAAATCTAAAGATAAATAGTTAGTAGTTACTACAAACAGTTATTTGAAATGCACATTACCCATTAACATACTAATCATAAACGATCACATCCAGAATGATTAAAAATGGTGAAATGAAATTTCATACATTGTTTATAAATGGCACTCTTGTTGTTGATTGCTGTTTATGAAGAAGTTTAAACAGGTATTTAAATTATGTACTGGTTTGTGTAACCTCCCAGATGTAGATGTATTTAGTTATATTTTCAAAAATACAGTAAGAAATCCATACACAGTGTTAAGAAAAGAAGCTATGAAAGGATAATGCAAAATGTGATTAATGGAGTAAGATTTGAGGAATAAGAAATACACTTTGTAAGGTTTATGTTCAATACACGACAGAAATAATGTAATACAATTTAACATTTAATTTTATATAAAATGGAAAAAAAAATTAAACATATAAAGAAAAAACTTGTAACAGAAAGATTAGTGTATATTGATCAGTAATGAAATAACAATGGTAAAAGTTGGTTTTGCCCTCTTCTGTGAAAACTGTTGAATATCAGTTAGCAGAATTCATTAACTGATCAGAAATAGCATAACTATTTTAAAAGTATCTTAAACCCTATAATAGGTGAAAAAAAATTATCTGTTGTTCCAAAAAGCTAGCACTGAAGGACTGCTCTCATTGGACTTGATGCTGGTTGTCTATGATGAAAAGATAAAACTAGTTTGTTCTGTTTTTTAAAATAAAGATATTAAACAAGAAATTACTGGTGCTATGAATGCTTTCAGAAATTATAAAGCTCCTGGTCCTGATACAATACTAAGAGAATTATTAATTGGGACAAAATACCTGTTCCATTACTTATTAAAATGTTCACATCAAAGTAGTGCCCAAGTAGATAAGTGACAGGATTAACTATAGCATTAAAAAAAAGCAAGATTCAACTAATAATATTAATAATTGCTATTTGAGAGATATAGTTGGCAAGAGGGCATACTTTGGATGATTCTTACAACTGGACATCTTGCTTTAAATATTATGCTTTTGTGACATTTTGGGGTACTTCCATGTTCTTTCTTCAAGTTTGTGAGGAAGGATATGGACAGTCTTGTGAAGCTCTTATGCATATCTCTCTCTCCTATACTCTGTGGTATATTCTTTG